TGAGTGAGTTTGTATAAGCTCAGATAAATTTAGATTTAGTATGATAAACAATGCAAAAATGGACGAATTTGGGATGATTTGAGATCATGATTGGAGTGCTTGTGATGCGAGAAATTGAGTGGGTTGGTCGACAATCCATTTGATCATATGAAGGCATGGTGACGGCGGTGCCGACCACCCCTAAGAGACGTGATTAGACTCGTCTAAAATTAAATATAAATATATATCACTTAATTAGAGTCCATTTGATATCAAAATTAATCCATGAAGTTATAATTTCAGCCATACAAGTCACTGATTAATTATTATTTTGCAATTCACTATTTTCACCAAAATCTGTGCTCAATTAGATGATAATTTTTTGGTGCCCATTAATTTCAAAAAAAAAAAAAAGAAATTGAAGTAGAATTTCTATCAATATGCAGAGAAAAGTGCCAACAAATCACTAGTCATCACATGGATGTGCTTCTTGCTCTATAGCACCAAAGTACTCCGAGATGAGTCTTTCTCCCTCTTCATTTCAATAGCTTTAGATCTTCCATGAAAGTATTTTTTTTTTTTTAATATTTTGCAAGTACTGCTATTTGTACTCATATATTAAATAAATAACATAGAGTCATGGAATAGTGACGCACATCAACATTTTAAATACATATATATACAACATCATCCTATAATCTATAGGATTTTTTTAAAGAAAGAACATGTATAACACATGTTTTTAGCAGGAGAAGTACATGTGTTTTAAAATTTAAAATTTAGGTAGTGTCAAGTGATTTGATGTATTCTTTAGAATGTATCATACAAATTAACACATTTATCATATATGCCACCTAGTGGGCCATACTGTAGCAATGTGCTTTACTAAATGGTGCATTCAATAGAATGTGCCATATTGCTGCGCCAAGCAATATGGTGCTTTCTATTGAGTATGACAAACAATTTGACTTATTTTAAATACGTTAAATATTTTGATGCATTCAATGGAATACATTATCTTGTTTAGGTAGTTTGCTTTTTTAATTTTGGTGTCAGGTAGAAGTCCGATAAAAGTCTTGCGATGAGTGGAAGTCCAGTGTTTGGTATAAGTCTGGCGATAGACAGAAGTCCAGCGACGGGCGGAAATTTGGCTTCGGGTAGAAGTCTGACGAAAGTTCGATGACTGGCATAAGTCCGACGATGGGTGAAAATGCAGCATTGGGTAGAAATCCGATGATAGGCGAAAGTCCAGCGTCGGGTAGAAGTCCGACGAAAGTCGGACGACAGGTGGAAGTTCGGCGTCAGGTAGAAGTTTGATGATAGGCGGAAGTCTGGCGTCGGATAGTAGTCCGACGAAAGTCTGGCTATGGGCAAAAGTTCGGCGACGAGCGGTAGTCCGGTGTCGTGTAGAAATCTAGCGACAGACGGAAGTTCGACGTCGGGTAAAAGTTCGGCAAAGGACGAAATTCTGGCGTCAGGTAAAAGTCTGATGATAGTCCGATGACGGGCAGAAGTCTGGCATCAGTCAGTGGTCAGGCGGAAGTCCAATAATAGTTGCAAACCGAGTGAAAGTCTAACGTTAGTTGGTGGCCAGACAGAAACCTGGTGTTAGTTGGCGGCCGAACAGAAGTTCGGCGGTGGTCGAGGAGGAGCATGGTGGTAAGTGAACTTTCTTCCTTCTTTTCCTTCTTTTCCTTCTCTTATTTTCTTCTTTTCTTCCTTACTTGGGTCCCTTCCTTCCCTCTCAATGAGGAATGAGATGTCTATTTATAGTTTTATGAGAATGTCATGACCAGCAAATAAGATGAATATCAAGGATAAGTTGGGAGTGGTTTGAATGGACGGTCGATGTTCATTCTTTTTTTCTTAGGCATTTGAATGTCTTAATGATATCATAATTTGACAACCTTGGGTTCGTTAGATTCAACTCATCGAGTTGCTTGATTCGACTATAAGCATGTTGTGTTTGGAAACCGTTTAGTAATATAAATTATGGTTTGAACTTTCCAAATGTACTTGGGACTTTGATTTGGACCCATTTGAGCTTGGATTGAGTCGAATTTGGTGTCGTTGGGTTCGTATTTTTTAGACATTCAATTCAACTATAAGTTTGCTAAAATAGGAGTTCAGATGGACCCAGGTTTAATTTTTAAAGTTTCCAACTTGATTTTGCCTAAAGATTCATGCCCGATCAATATAATTTTTTTGATGATATATCAATAATAATTTGTTTTCATCCAAGTCCCGAGACCAGCATTTGGCAGTCACAATGAGAAAAATCTATACGAAGATTACATGGCACACAACTCCCATTGGCCTATTGTTTGAGAGCTTAGGCTTCCAACTAAGAGGTCCAAGGTTCGAGTCCATGTGTATGCGTTGTGTGTGTGAGTTCGCCTTAAATGGCCTAAATGTCCCCAAAAAAAAAAAAAAAAAAAAAAAAATTACAAAAAAAAAAAAAGATTACATGGCCACTTACCATTGGGACAAAAATAGAAAGAGTGAAAAAGAGATGGTAGCTGCTTGTTGACTGATAAACCATGCATGAGCTGTTGCAAAATCTATCTCTTGCTTTAAGCTTTATTGCTTTAAGCTTTGTGAGTGCAATGGCTCGACAGTTTTGAATATTTATCTCTTAAAGACTTCACTTCTTTTAAAGAAAGAGTCATGCATGCTATGAGCCTTTTAAATTGGCTTTCTTCCTTTATCCCATTCCCATACAACAAATACCATTATTCTAATTTTGAGTCAATGTCAAGCTTTGAATATTTATGAGGAGCACAAAGTACAAATCAGCACTAATTAAGCCATGATAAATGCAATAATACGTCAAATTATCTCTCTTGGTCAATCACATTATGATCTTATCATACACAATGCCCCCATTCTGCTTATGCAGTGAGTACTAATTAATTAGTGCTCCCCACTTAAGTACAACTTAATTACAATAAATAAAGATAATAAATATAAGAAAGAGTTTCTTTCGCACCACTGCAACAAAAAAGCCAATTTTGCTCCTTATACTGCTTTGCAGGTTATATAATACAGTTGCTTCACGAAGAATGCATAGCAAAAAAGTGAAGAATTTTTGGGGCAGTGTTCACCAGAATAGAGTTTCATTTAAGCTTTTAATCCCATGCCTCCAAAACCCCAAACCAGTCTCCATCAAAAGGAAGCTTTTGCAGAACATAAATTACTAGTTTTCAGGCCTTGTTTCAGGCTTTGCAAAAGCATCACAGGAGAGAGATTGAAAGGAAAGTGCTTCATATAGATCTGAAAAATTATTATCAAAATTTTGTGATTGAAGTCCATTTGTATTAAATTTATGTATGCCTTCATACTCATCCTTTCAAAAAAAAAAAAAATAGCTTTGCTAAGATCTTAGGCAGTAGTTCCAATTTTTGATTTTAAAAGTAATTTATAAAAAAAAAACAATCTTTCTGAAAAACAACCATTTTTTTTAACCGAAAGAAGAACTCGCATCTACTTTTGCATTTAAAAAAGCTTCTTTCGTACCTACTTAAGTTAATAAGCTTTCAACTTTAGTTTTAAATATTATAAATATTCGATGTAATATGAGTGAATAAAGTAATAAACATAGGGATTGACATTTTAAAATTATTTAACTCTCCCCATGAGAAATGAGTATGAACATTTGCTGAATTGATAAACCGAGCATTTCATCATGCAATATAATCATATTTTAAAACAAATATTAAATTAATAAACTAAGTAATGATCTGTTATATCAGGTTTTAGAATTTGATTAATAACTTTTAAAAAATATGACAAAAGAGAAGCTGATCAAAGATTCATTATAGCAATATCTATAGCACCGTTAACATAAAATAATCTTAAATTGTTGAGGATCGTCAAAAAAGATCGTTAATGTGTTTATTTCCTTAGATCAACAAAATGAGAAGAAAGAAGCATCAATCATTATCTGTTCTTCTCACAAGCTTGCAACTTGCTCACTAATTAAGAAGGGTACGTATGTTCATCATAACTACCTTCTCTTTCTATCATCTTCTTCTTATCACTAAGAAGCGTTTAAATGACTCTCTGTGAAGCAGACGAAGTTAGAGTGGCAGTAAAAGCACCAAAATTTGTTCAGTGTTAGTATTTTACAGGCAAAAGCATTAAATCTCTGTCTATCTCTGTGTTATCTCTGATGCATGGAATAATGGGAATGCGACAGTAGAATAGGTAAGGGATGGCGAGCATGTGCGGATCCCCATGTAGTTGAGGGGGGGCAAATGCCCCCCCTCAAAATTTTTTTTTTTTTAATTTTAGTGAGATATTTTGAAATATTTTGAGTATTTTGGGTATTTTGCCCCCTCTCAAAAAATTTTTTTGCCCTCATTTAATCAATCCTAAGCATTTTTGCCCATCCCCCACAAAAAAAATTTTTTTTGCCCACCCTAAAAAAAGAAGCTGGATCCGCCCCTGATGGCGAGGAAAGGGTAGAAAGGATTTAATGCGTAAATTAATGGATTAATGAATATAGAGGTATAGTGGGCAGCGGCAGTCTCCACTCCTCGACTCTTAACTGGCTGGCTACAGGGCTACAGGATTTAAGTATCTTGCAGAGCCTGTGGCGGTGTGGCTTTGGTCATCGTCCTCGGGGCCACTGGCGTGCGCTGCTGCTGCCATCGGCTGCTGAATGCTCCGCTTTGTCCCTCGTCTTTTAGAAAAGAGCGTCGCTTTGGCCTCCACACTGCTTTAATTCTCTCTCTCTCTCCCCATTTCTCTTTCCCGTTTCTCTCTCCTCCATCGCTACACGACAGAGCAGGAGTATTATCCCTGTAGCCACCTATCCCGAAGTGGAAACTGTCCGTTTTCGCCCTCTTCTCTTGTATACATCTTGCTTCCACTATATTTATTCCTCGCATGCAAAATCTCCTCTTGTGATTTTTTGGGCAAACGAGGATTTTTCTTTCGGTTGCTTATCTATGCGGTTTTTAAATCAGAGGAAAGACCAACAACAACTAAATTTCCCAAAAAAAAAAAGACCAACAACAACTATACGGAGAAACTAACAGTAATAATGCTCGTCTGTTTTCCTTCTCCTCTTCTTTTCTTTATCGCAGCCGTTACCAGTTTGCTTCTCTCTCTAGCTTTCTAACACTGGAATACTGGAGTTCATCATGCAGCGCAGCAAGTCAATGCTTTGAGCAGGGAATTGTAGATCCGTACGTCCGCTGAGGATGATATCAATGCTCTCTGTTTAGCTCTGCGTCATTGTTTTATGTATACTCCACTTATTTTTGATTTATTCCTTTCATAAAAAAAAATCTCTTTTTCGCTCTTCGACGAAGAAAGGCGATTGCTTGCTGGCGAGAATGCCGCTTGGGCAGATGAAGGAGTCTAAGGGAGCTGAGAGGCACTTTGTTAAGAAGCCGCTGCAGTCCGCCGCAGTTAATCAACCGGCGACGCCGCCGCCCCCGCCGGCGGCGCCGTTGGCTAAGAAGAAGTCTGGTATGCGGCGTAGGGCGAAGGGCAGGGGTAAGGTGACGGATGAGGTAAAACCGCGGGAGCCAGCGGTCGGGGAAGTGACCTCGGCGGGGATGGCAGGGTCTCCAGTTTCGACGAAGGCGATCACTTTCCACCAGCGGCCGGGGTTTGGCCAGGTAGGCGTCAAGTGCGTCGTGAAGGCGAACCATTTCCTCGCGCAGCTTCCGGATAAAGATCTGAACCAGTACGATGTGAGTAAAATTTTCTGTTTAGGTTGATCAAAATTGAATTTTGATCGGAATTGGAGTGGAAATAAGACACATTTATTGGCGCAGGTGACGATTACGCCAGAGGTGAGTTCAACGCAGGTGAATAGGGCGATAATGGCGGAACTGGTGAGGGTTTACAGGGAGACGGAGATGGCAATGAGGCTTCCAGCCTACGACGGAAGGAAGAGCCTCTACACCGCGGGAATTTTACCTTTTAGCTTCAAGGAGTTCGTTGTCACTCTCAGCGTGGAGGATGAAGGAACCGGAATCACGAGGTGGGGCTTGGAATAATTTTTTTTTTTTTTTATAATAGTTTCAGAGATTCCCTATTGTCCATTTCTGTTTAAGATCTTATTTATGTCGTATTTGTTTTAAAATTTTAATCTTTGAAGGCATAAGGCGTATAAGGTGGCAATTAAGTTCGTTGCTCGAGCTGACCTTGGCCATTTAAGACTGTTTCTTGAAGGGAAACAGGCTCATGCTCCGCAAGAAGCCCTTCAGGTGCTAGATATTGTATTGAGGGAACTATCAAATCAAAGGTGCTTCTTTTTCTTTTTAATTCTCTAATTTTAATAGTTTTTATTCTTTTTTTTTTTTTGATGAAATGAATGGAATTACAGGTACATGGCAGTGGGTAGATCCTTCTATTCTCCTGAGATCAGGAAGCCACTGAGGCTGGGTGATGGTTTGCAGTCTTGGGGTGGGTTCTATCAAAGCATTAGGCCGACTCAGATGGGGCTGTCTCTTAACATTGGTTAGAAGATTTTTGTCAGGAATTTTGTATTGATTTTACAGCTTGGTCATGCTAATGTCTCTACTTTGCTCAAATTTTACTGTGGATGTGTTGTTAGACATGTCGTCGACTGCTTTTATTGAACCGCTTCCGGTGATCGAGTTTGTAGCTCAGATATTAGGCAAGGATGTGATCTCAAGGCCATTGTCAGATGCTGATCGAGTTAAGGTATGCTCATTTGATGGAATCATCATAGACCCAAAACATTTGCTTTGCAGATTCCTTCTCATTTTAGGGTATGTTTGGTTATGATTAAATTTAACAGATTAAGAAGGCTCTCAGAGGTGTGAAAGTTGAAGTAACTCATAGAGGAGCCGTGCGTCGTAAATATCGAGTTTCAGGGTTGACATCCCAACCTACACGCGAGTTAATGTATGAATATAATCTTCTTTCATACATAAGATTTAATTTTTTGTTAGATATATTTATTTAGTTTTACCTTAAAAAATTATATTATCATTTCATGGTGAAAATATGGATGCGGTATTTAGGCTTTGTTTGGGATGGCTTTCTTACTGCTTTCTAAAACAGCTCTCTTGTACAAAAATTTCTAGATCAAGAACTTTTTGTACCAGAAAATCGCTTTAGAAAGCAATAAGAAAGCTGTCCAAAATGAAGCCTTAATTGCATATGTGTTTAGTCATTAATTCTTGGAGCAATTTCTCATGTATCATTTGGGACTTGTCCATTTAAAAAAATTGGCATTCCTTCATTTGTACTACGACCAACTTTATCTTAAAGAGCATAACAAAGCTCAACAAATATATTTTCCTTTCATTAAATTCTCATTGAATTGGACGTGTCACTTGCATTTTTTTAAAATAGAATGTTAATATTTGCATTTTTTTTCCTGCAAATATCAAATTTGTTCCATGGAAATATCCTCAAGATCTTTGAACCTTGCTTTTTTGCAGCTTCCCAGTTGATGAGCAAATGAATATGAAATCTGTCGTTGAATACTTCAAAGAGATGTATGGATTTACCATTCAACATTCTCATCTTCCTTGTCTTCAAGTGGGAAATCAGAAAGCAAATTATCTTCCCATGGAGGTTTTTTTTTTCAAATATTCCACCTCTTTCTTTGTACATTTAGTCCCCTTTTTTACATGTACGTGTGCTTTTACAGGCTTGCAAGATAGTGGAGGGTCAGAGATACACAAAGAGATTGAATGAGAAGCAGATAACTTCCTTGCTGAAAGTAACATGCCAGAGACCCAGAGATCAAGAGATGGATATTCTACAGGTCTATTATTTTAATTCTATTTGTAGCAAAGGATCATTTAATTACATAATAGGTATTTTAAAGAAGTTCAGATATGTGATTTACCTAATTTGCTAAAAATTGTTGTTACTAGCTTTAGAACTTTGTATGGTTAAACAGGCAATCATGCAACTCATTAATTGTCCTAGGATTCTAGATTTTCTTATGCTATATAAAGTATCATGAAAAAATAGGCTAGAATTTTGTGGCCTTGATGACTTTTCAGATCCCCTTGCATGAAAGGAAGCCTATGGAGATGGAAAAAATTGTTTCTTTTTTTTATAGAATGGCTAAGCCCCTCAATCCCCCCCCCCCCCCCAAAAAAAAAAAAAGACAAGTTTCTTCAGCATGAGTCTTTGAACTGTAAGATGCGAGTGCAATACATTGATAATTAATCATGATTTGTATTACACTTATCTCAAAACATAATCGAATGATTCTGAAACCTCCTATTATGGAGATTCCTTGTTGAAGCTTTTGATTTTTTTAATCTTAGCTCTAATTTTCTTTTATTTGAAGCATATAATGGCACTTTTTAACTCCTTTATGTTCATGTACCTACTTTCAAAGCTTTACATGCCAGACATACACTGAGTTTATGCAATTGCATAAAAGGCTAACGCTTTCAGCCACAAAAAAACAACATATTAAAAAGCATTTTGAACAGTGTCTGCACCATCCATCTTTAGTTCTCTGTCTTACAGGTCAAAGGCAACTCTTTGGACCACCTTGAGTCTTTCACTTGGCTCCATTAAGCTACAGGACCATGCTGAAGTGTACCCATTTTATTCTGTTTGAAGCATGAGTTTTGTGGGTCCTGGCTTCTGCTAATGCCTTTGTGCATAAGAGGTTACTTTCTTTTCAGGCTGGTGGGTCCTTTCTGTCTCAAAGTTACCGCTTGAAATCAAATCCAAGCTAGTTAAACCACATATTTTTTACCGGAGATTATGATATCAGGTTCATGGGACCACAAGCATAACCATGATAGTAATCAGCCAAATATTTATAATAATGTTGTAGTATAATTACTTATGTAACTTATGTTGATACATGGTGATCGATTCATATAAATCAAAGCTATAAAACTTAGAATTCATTTATTCGTTTCAGACAGTTCACCAGAATGCTTATGAACAAGACCCCTATGCAAAGGAATTCGGAATTACAATCAGCGATAAACTTGCCACCGTCGAAGCTCGGGTTCTCCCTGCTCCATGGGTATGTATAATTGCCATTATGTTCAGTTGATGATGTGCAAGTGATATATAGATAGGATATTAAGTATAAATACAATGTCATAGCTGAAATATTTGGTATATTTCATCTTTATAAAGCTAAAGTATAATGAAACTGGAAAAGAAAAGGAATGTCTACCACAAGTTGGACAATGGAATATGATGAACAAGGTATGGGTATTCCTTTTCTTTTTTGTACTGTGAACTGTACATTGCGTGTCTTTAAACTATATTTTATCAATTTTCTCCCTTCTCCAAAATAGAAAGTGATAAATGGATGCATAGTAAGCAACTGGGCTTGCATCAACTTTTCAAGAAGCGTTCAAGAAAGCACTGCTTATGGGTTTTGTCAGGAGCTAGCACAGATGTGTCAAGTATCTGGCATGGTAAATATTTTCTAACTCATTAGCTTAATTTTTTCAATTAGAGTTTATTTATTTTAAGTTGGTTCACTTTTTTTTTTCCTCGTGTGCTCCAAAAGGTCATTTTCTATTCAGAGTAAAATTTTTCTGTGTTTTGTGAAAGTTGAGTACTGAATTTCAAATCTCAAGATCTTGATATTAACTTTCAAAATATTTTTCAACTAAACTGGCTGCCACCCACTTTTTTACATTTTGATATTTTTCACACTAAAAAAAAAAAAAGAAATGCCCGCATGTCTCTTATGGATTTCTCAAAACCTCATGAAAATGGAGTTTCCCAAAAGAAATTTTGGAAAAATAATGGAGGAACTATACTTTTTTTTTTAACCATTCAAATAGGAATTAGTTTTCATCGACTGTTTTGATAGAATGTATTTTCAGGCATGTGAAATTTCATATAACTTGCTGCTGATAATTGTTCTGCAAGGAATCCCATCATATAAGACAATCTTAGAATAGGGCTATGTTTGGCCTTTGATTGTCAGGAACAGTTTTGATTGCTGGACTGAACCAATGAGAACATATATGCACTTCTTTTTGGCAGGATCTACATAAAACTTTGCTTTTTCAAAATTTGTTTTAGAGCCTTTTTTGTTACTCTAAGGTGGAATTATTCATGCTTTTATTTCTAAAATTAATCAGAACAATCATGATATGACCTTCATAACATGCTTTATCTAGGAATTCAACCGAGAACCTATGATACCAATCTATTCTGCAAGGCCTGATCAGGTAGAAAAGGCTCTTAAACATGTTTTTAACATGGCAATGAACAAACTGAAGGGAAAAGAGCTGGAACTTCTTCTAGCCATACTTCCAGATAGTAATGGTTCTTTATATGGTTCGTCAAGCCTCTTACTTATGTTTTTTTTTTTTAATTTTAATTAATTATATTTGAAGTCCATGCTTACTTCATAAAACCTACTGTGGACTCAGGTGACCTCAAAAGAATCTGTGAGACTGATTTGGGATTGATATCTCAATGCTGTTTAACAAAGCATGTTTTTAAGATAAACAAACAGTACTTAGCAAATGTTTCACTCAAAATAAACGTTAAGGTTTGGTTCAAATTCTTTGATCATTTTATGAATGCAAAATATATGATATAAAATCTTAAATTCTGCGTTTTTTTGCTATTACATTGCTATTGCAGATGGGTGGGAGAAATACTGTTCTTTTGGATGCTATTAGTTGGAGAATTCCTTTGGTCAGTGACAAACCAACTATAATATTTGGAGCAGATGTAACTCATCCAGAGACTGGGGAGGATTCTAGTCCATCAATTGCTGCTGTAATTATGGCTTTTCTTAACATTTAGACTATGGAAGTTCTCTTATTGATGTTTCTATGATAATTGTAATTTTCTTTTTAATGTTTTTAATACTTCAATAACTGCAGGTTGTTGCTTCCCAAGACTGGCCAGAAGTTACAAAATATGCTGGACTTGTGTGTGCTCAGGCTCATCGGCAAGAACTTATTCAGGATCTTTATAAGACATGGCATGATCCTCAGCGGGGTACTCTTACTGGAGGCATGATAAGGTTTATTTATCTTTTCTTTTGGGTTCTTAAGTGTTATAAAACACATTCCCAAGTTTTGGGGAGTTGAAATTTTGGTTGAGTGGATTATCTTTGTTGAGATCTTTCACTTCTGCATTATCTGGCCTATGTTAAGAAAAATAGGGATTGACCTAAAAAGATTTAACTTGAAAGTATTAGAAATGACTTTTTTATTAGATTTAAATGATAATTTAACTCTTAATAAGTCATAATGAAGAAAAATTATTAATGTAGCCGACGTCACGTAGTGGGATAAAGATTTGATGTTATTGCTGTAAATCTTCCCTTTATGCAAACTAGAAGTTTGTTAAACTTAAACTTAACCTGTCTCATCTAACAAGTAGGTGCCATGCCATCCTTAAGACCATAATGCTAGTTCAAATAGTATATTTTTCTTTGTGGAGAAGTACTAATCTTCTCTGAGAACATTATTCTCTTCTTTAAATGATTATTTTCTTACTATTGCAGAGAGCTCCTGATTTCTTTTAGGAAGGCAACTGGTCAAAAGCCAATGAGAATAATATTCTACAGGTACGGTTTTTGATATTTAACTTGATATAAGACTCTTCTATATACTTTGTGTCTTGTTGATAAGGGTTAGGTATGAAACTTTCCTATAATCTCAGGGTTTTAGGATAATTGTTGGCTCCTTGATCTTACATTGTTATATATTTTGAAGATTGTCTTAATTTATATTTTAGACTCTTTCTACTTTGAATGCTCAAATAGCATTGTGTTCTATTTTTTTCTTCATTCTAACAGAGATGGTGTGAGTGAAGGGCAATTCTATCAGGTCCTTTTGTACGAATTGGACGCCATCCGTAAGGTCTGTATTTGCTGATATCCATCAAAATCACATATAGTAAAGCGTCATTTTTGTCTACTGATCCTTATAGCATAATTTTTTGCAGGCTTGTGCTTCGTTAGAACCAAATTATCAACCTCCAGTGACTTTTGTCGTGGTTCAAAAGAGACACCACACCAGGCTTTATGTGAACAACCATAAGGATAGAAACAGTTCAGACAAGAGTGGAAATATACTACCTGGTACTTCTTATGCATAAACTCAATCGAAGAAATACTGCATTTTTAGGCAAACCTTCACAATATGTTCATAAAAATGTGCTCTGGATCAGTTAGAATGGATGGTTAAAAGTTCTTTTTGAAGCAGTAAACATTATTAATTATGCGGTTAACATTTATTGCCAGTTTTTCTTATGAGAAAATAATGTTATTTGGATGATACAGGTACTGTGGTTGATTCCAAAATTTGTCATCCTACAGAGTTTGACTTTTACCTTTGTAGTCATGCTGGGATCCAGGTAAGTTGGCCGTTATATATTTTAGTTATGTAAAATTTAGTTGGGCATATCACAATTTCTTTAGTCTAACGGTTGATAGTTTTGGCTCCAACCATAAGGACTATGCTTGCGATTAAATTATCTCAATTTCTCCCTCTCCCCACCAAAAAAAAAAAAAAAACCATCTATCATGCCATTTTACTAAGGGATGTTCGGGGCGGTTGTAGCTGTTTATAAAAGAAACTATAGAACCGTTGCGATTTATGAGAAAAATAAATGTTTTGGAAAGCTATTGCGGGTATTATAAATTTTTACTTTTCAAAAAATTCAATTATCAGCTTTGTTACAACTTCCTTATTGTTATGTATTGATTCGGTTTTAGGTTAGGTTGACCGCAAGCTATCACACTCCTTGTAAATGCCTATAAATAACATTGTAGTTGATGTAAGAAGGACCCCCTCTTATAAACCATTAAAGCCAAGGAATAAAGAATTCATGTGCTCCTCCTTCCTCTCTCTTGCATTTAAGAATTCCTCCAAGTTTTAACACTTATTCTAACATGTATGGTTGTAAAAAGCTTATTGTCACTTTAAAAATGTATTAAATAAATAACAAGAAATAACAGATCTAATAGAAACGTGACAATTGTCCCCCCCCCCAAAAAAAAAAGAGCTTAAAAAAATTGTTCCAATCGAACCCTAAATGTATAGTGTACTAATAAATGTTAAGGACACTTGCATCTTTTTGATATAGGGAAATTGTATATAAAATTTGTCAACGTTTAGGAAACACTACCAAATTATTAGGTCTCCAGTATGGAATTACAAGTACCAACTTGTGTTTTTTAAAGCTTTTCCAAGGTTAAGAAATTACAAGGACCAAAAATAGTGGTAATGTGGAATTTGTACAAATCATTATTGCACTCTTGGAGATTTAATTAAGATAATTGGGCATTTTCCTCTACATAGAAAGGCCTTATTACTGATCAAACATCTTCCTGCCAGGGAACTAGCAGACCAGCCCATTACCATGTCATATGGGATGAAAACAATTTTACAGCAGATGAAATGCAGACTTTGACAAACAATCTCTGCTACACGTAAGCCTACTCTTAATACCCAGTATTTTACATTCTTCATTGAATCACATCAAATTTGAGTGATACTTGACTGGTTTGATCCAACATCCAGGTACGCTCGATGCACTCGATCAGTATCTGTCGGTATGTTTTTTAGCCTCAATCTACCAAACTCAAATCTAGGCTTCATTTGTGACGGTTTTTTTTTTTTTCTGGTTCTTAAAGTAGTTTCGTAGTACAAAATTTTTAAATTTTGTACCAGGAAGCTGCTTGAATAAGCAATAAGAAAACCGTCCCAAACGAAGCACTAGTACCAATTTATTGACATTTTTTTATCCTGCTGAAATATTTTCAGTGCCGCCTGCATATTATGCTCATCTTGCTGCATTCCGAGCGCGATTTTATATGGAACCAGACTTGTCTGATAACCAGACATCACAGAGCATGAGAATGCAGAATGGTTCATCTGTGAAGCCTCTTCCAGCATTGAAAGAGAAGGTGAAGAGAGTTATGTTCTACTGTTGAGGCTTGATCAGAAAGCAGAAGAGAGAATGAGAAGATTTCTTGTACATTATATTGTACTTATATTGTAGAGATGATCTTTAAATCAAGCATCTTAGAAGCTGGGAAATCCTTTGATTGATTGCTAAGTTGATATTTGTTACTTGTACACAGTCTGAGGCTAGAAGAGTTTTAGTTCATCTTCTTTTGTTGAATATCCAGTTGAGAGTTTTGAGGACTATGTTATGAAACTCAAAATTATTTGGAAAGGAAAAGAAGCATATCTATGGATATTGGAGTTATGTAAATGGATAATTACCCTTTTTAAGCATTTTAAGATCAATGATTTTGTTGATTTATGAGAAAATATCATTTATTGTGATTATATAAATTTTTGTTATTCTTAAAAATATCATTAGTAGGCATTTTTCTGGATAGAATCTCTAGTAGAATTACTCTAAAATTACAAACATTTGGAGTAAGAATTTTTACTAGTATTACTCTAAATTTATAACCATACATAGAATCCATATTCTAGAAATAAATAGAGAATATTTATTTTAAGGCTATTAATTTAAAGGCCATATCATATTAAAAAAAATGAAATGATTTATTACAGCATAAAGAAGAGGAATCAGCACATCAGCTGGCATAATATGGCTAATAGTTCCTTTAATCTAACTTTTGTTGGAACAATCTTCGAGAGAAAAACTCACAAAATCTCCTAATGAGTGAGAGTCCAAAGTCACCTATATATTAGGCAACTTTGACGATCACATCCCATCTTTCTTTTAGAGAAAGAACATCTCCATTAGTTCTATGTTTATGGTGAAACAACATACAAGAAGTGGGCTTGGCTGGTTCAATTGAATTGACCCCTAACTAAAGTAGGAAAAGCATAATTGAGCGGGGGAGCAGTAGCGAGCGAACGAGCGAGAGGTGCGGGCAGTGCAAGGGAGTTAAAATTGTGCGAATGAGCAAGGAAACATGTTCGGATGCGAAAAACAGTGACTCTCCAAAGGAAATAACTTTGATTCGATCACTAATCATATGAACAAAGGAAAGCATAGAATGAGAGAAGGCAGCTATAGAGAAGAAAGAAAATGAAAATTTGTGAGAAAGAAAAGAATTTGGATAAGGAAGAAAAATAAAGTGATTGTAAGGAGTTTATTTTCTTTCTCCATTGCTAAAATAGTTAAGTAATTTATTACTTTATTTTATTATTTTGGTGAAGGAGAATATGGGGAAAGAGAAGGAAATTTGGAAGAAATATCATCAAGTATTTTAATTTAATTTAATTTAAATTAAGAGTAGTAAACTTTCAATAATTTTTAGAAATTAACCATTGATTGATGTAAATTCTTATGTAAGATAGATTTGTTTATTTAATTTAGACAAGTTGAATGCAGTAAAGAAGAAAAAAGTAAGTGTTCAACTACTTTATTATTCGGTGAAAGATAAGCTATTTTATTTTATTTTAAAAGAAAGAAATTTAATGTTTTGTATATAAAATTGAGATATTGGGATTTATATAGGCGGTGAAATCTTTGATTCGACGAAAAGGAAGATCAATTGATTGAATAAATTGACCATTAAGCTGAGATAAAATAATGATTTCCAATAAGAGTTCTAGGAAGTGAATATGTATGAGGTACTTAAATATTAATATATATATATGGCACCTACAAATCACCGTAGCAGAAGGCAATGAATGCTACGTCACCTTTATAATCAATCACCATTCAATGTTAAGCATATATATTGATCTGTTACGAGCAAAGGCTGATGATACTATAATATTACAACAAATGTAAGCGTCTACACGTGTAGAAGACCTGTCGTGCACTCAACACAACACCTGCCGATAAATACAAAAGAGATCTACAACATATACAAAATTCTACGAGTTGCCGTAAAAGACCAATAAAATTTTTAAATATTCCAAAATACCCCCTCACGCATTGAAATATAAATAACCCATGGACCCCAATGAGCGTGTTATGGGTACACACATGACATCTAGGGATGCTGCGTGAGTTAGTAAATGAAGTTAAGTTCAAACCTAATCCTTCTGCATGGATTAGTAGAAGTCAACACTACTCAAATTATTAAAAGAATATATTGTCACGCTGTTGGCTAAAATATTTGTTTTAAATATTCATATTAGATATTCAAGGTCTATAATAAAGAAAATTCACTAATAATGGCTTACAACCGATAATGAACCCAATCTTTTGTCGACGGGTAGATAGAATCGATAAGGTTCGACCCATAAATAAAAATCCACTTTTTACCTTGATAATGGTTGTGTTGACAGAAAATATCAATCAAAGGGGTTAATTCCAAACATTTGAAGTGCCAGTCAAATACCCACTAAATCCAAAACTCAAAAAATATCAAAAATTCCAAAACATTTAAAATCAAAATTCAACCATCAATCACTTAAAGTAAAATCCATCAATCATCCGTAACAGTTTGTCAAGGTGGACAAATTTGAAAATACACTTTGACTCACAAAGAGATATTGTCTGGTTGATAATATAACTATGATTCATTTTCAAATCATCTATTGCTAGCAAGGATGTTGTATGTGTCATGCCACCAAATGACACCATAGATAAACGGTTATGACCGAGGCCCTTTGAAACTGGTGGTCTGCCGCCAATTGGCACAACTAAACTACGATCATGGAAAGAGCCTGTATGTTCTTAATACCATCATATCCTTGATATATGAATCAATAGAATATAATCGATAGGGCACAAAGCCCTCTGTTAGCTAAGGTGGATTTAATTTTGTCCTTTTAGGCAAATATTCACCCCAGGTCTACAAGGCACCCTTGAACATAGCAACCCATGACTACCGACAATGATCCTTCTTTTAGGTTGGGTCAACTACCTCCTTTGACTAAGTAGACTAGGGACCATGATGACCTGGGACAACGAAACCATGGGATCTTGATCGAGACCATCATCCATTCCCCCACCTTTCACTTTAAGTGCATGATGGTGAAATTTTCAATTTTAAATATTAAATCTCTAAATATCAAACCTTTGTTGCTACTACATGCCATATATTACGTGTTTTTACGTATCTGATTGACGACTAGCCTTAATCAAAAGTTCTCTCTCATTACTGGGAGAGGTAATTAACTATAGGGGCTTGCACCTATAGAAAACTAGTACTCAAATCATAAAGTCCTCGCAAAATGAGGGCAAAATATATGGGTAGTGACTTATCTATAATCTCAATCTGCCTTCCCAAAATTTACCCTAGAACTTCATCCATTAAAACCCCCCGAAAAGCAAAGGGGAGGTCGGCGCACGAATTTTCGGAGACCACGATAACTTTTTAGTATAACAAATTTAAGCTCATAAATTTTTTGTACTGAAAAGGTGCTTTTAAAAGAAGTAAGAATGCTACCCAAACGAAGCGTCAATTTTGATTAAAACTTAGGGTCCATTTGAGACGGTTGCAATTTTTTATAAAGATGGTTGTAAAATTGTTGTGAATGAAGCAATTTTTTAAAAAGCTGTTGTAGAAAATAACTTCCTAGCATAAAAATTATTAAATGTAGTGAAAATGCAGTGGCCAAATAAAAATTATGGCCGTGATTTGAAAATCAAAACGATCATAAAGCCGTTCCAAACAAAGCCTTAATGTAAGTTCTAAATTTTAGTAATAATCATTAACCTTATTTAATGAGAATTAATAAAGCCTTTTATAAGTTTAAAATGGAAGAATACATAAATAATATTAAAACAGATTATAATAAACAAAATAGACTTGAACAGATGTGAGTTAATGAAATAGACAGTTTCATTAATTAAAACAAAAAGCTTTCTTATTTGGATTTACTATTAAGTTAGATATGCTTAAGCTTTGAGCTTCCACCTAATGATATAACAATTTTTTTTTCTTTCAATTATATAAATTTTCTCGTTGTTTGAAAATTTTTAATAAGAATGAACTCTTCATTCATAAATTGATGATGAAATCTCATAAGATAAAAATAAACCATTTCCTTACACATGAATCATCTCAACAGATATTAATTTACCCAAACTATTATAGTCAAACATTTTAAGAAAGTGATTAAAAGAAGAATAGAATAAAATTGCACAAGTGCTTATGTATATATTAGCTGTACTTCTCTGATAATTAATCAAAAGCTAATTACAAACTACATGAAGGCCGGGACTTAAGACAAATTAAGAATCATTGCTTGGCTTTGATTTTCTAAAAGAAGTCCTCATTTCCATCAGATTGAAGGTAGGAAACTCTAATTGCATGCAATTTTGTAACCACATCTCTCATGGATGGTCTTTCCTCTAGTAATGAAGCTGAGCATGAGAGAGCTACTTCTGCCAAGGAAAGCAAGCATTTGTTGATGCTTTGACAATTGCTGATAGTATATCTTTGCTCTTTAGTAAACATTTTAAGATCTATGATGTTATTGATTCCATGAGGAAATGCCATTTTAACATGATTATATAAATTTAAGTTATCATGGAAGATATCATCAGTAGGCCTTCTTCCAGTAAGTATCTCTAGTAGTATTATTCCAAAACTATAAACATCTGCAGAGGTAGACGGGCAAGCTCCTTCACCATATTCTACAAGTAAAATGAGTTTATATATTATATGAAAGAATTACTTTAAAAAAGAGTATATCATATTAAAATAGAATGACATGATTAATTATAACATAAAAAAGATGAACCATCAAATCACCTGGGGCAATATAACCAATAGTTCCTTTTATCGCTCTTTTATCAGAGTAATCTTGGACAGGCATACTCATAACTTCAGAGAGCATTCTTGAGAGTCCAAAATCTCCTACATGCGCAATCATGTTCTTGTCTAGTAGGATGTTGCTCGGCTTTATGTCACAATGAATTATTGATGGTTCACAATTATGATGAAGATACTCCAAAGCATCCGCAACATTGATGATAATGTTCAATCTCTTTTCTAGATAAAGAATATTATCTTCATCAATCTCATTTTCTTGGTGTAGCCTCATGTCCAAGTTTCCCTTTGGCATGAATTCATAAATCAAAGATTTAAAATCTTTGCCTTGATGATCAATACTAGAGCATGAGTTTAGAACCCTTATAATATTACGATGTCGTACTCTTCTTAATGCATCACATTCAGATGTGAAACTCTTAAGAGCTCCATGGACCTCAAGATTAAAAACTTTAATAGCCACAATATCTTCATAATCTCTTAGGGTGCCTTTATAAACAAATCCATATCTTCCATGTCCAACTAGATTTGAAGTGGAAAAATCATTTGTAGCTCTGGCTAATTTTGTATAAGAAATTCTTGGAAATTGAGTGTTTAAGGATGACTTTGATGAATTTCTGCTTTGGCCACTTTGCTTTTGATTTCTATAAAGCAAAGTATAGCACATCACAAGGGCCAATATCAGAACTAGTATGCTGAGAATTGGGGCCAAAATTTTAATTAAATTATGATTTCTTTTTTTTGTTGATGATGAGCTGACAACACATCTTGGAAAATCAAGTTTTGAAATTCCTCCACATAGTTTTTCATTTCCAATGAGGGAGATTGCTGAGAAATTTGCAAAGACACCTTTGTATGGCACCTCACCTTCAAGATTATTAAATGACAGATTCAAGCGCTTAAGAAACATAATATTTTGTAGGGATTGAGGAATAACCCCTGATAAATTATTATGCGAAAGGTCTAGTGTTTCAAGGTTCTTTATGTTCCCTATAGAAATTGGAATGGAGCCATGAAAAAAATTGTATTCTATATTTAATTGAAGCAATAGCTGACAACTTCCAAGTGATTCTGGTATTTCCCCTGTTAAATTGTTATTGGAAAAATCTAGAAACATGAGATGTTCAAGATGACCAACTTCTAATGGTAGAGTTCCAGTAAAAGAGTTATAGGATAAATCTAGAGTATCTAAAATGGAATGCATGAGAAAAATCCCTCTCGGAATCAAGCCACTTAGATTATTTTGCCTGAGATTCAAAATACTGAGAATATTAAGATTTTTTAGTGTTGAAGGAATAGAACCTGTTAATTGATTAAATCCTAAAAATAAATTGATAAGTTTTGTGAGATTGCCTAAGGAATAAGGAATACTTCCCGTTAAACTATTATTAAATAAATTTAAATCTTGTAGCCGTTGAAGATTTCCAATGCTCTCAGGTATAGGACCTTGCAAAAGATTTCTCTCCATCCCTAAACAATTTAATTTGGCGTACTTTCCAAGTTCAAAAGGGATGCTTCCTGAAATATGATTGAATCCCAATATCAATTTTTGAAGCTCAATGGAGAGATTCCCAATTGATTTTGGAAGCATTCCACCAAGGTTATTGCTACAAAGGGCCAAGGTTTCTAAGCTAGTGCAATTAGTTAAAGAATCAAGAAATCTCCAGTCCTTTGCATCAGCTGCTTCAAGCTTATTGTATTGCATATTGAGGTATGTAAGGTTATGCATTTTTCCAAGATCTGGTGGCACCACTCCTGTAAAATTATTATCTTCAATGTCTAAACGCCTGATACTGGTAACATTTTGAAGAGCTTGGTGAAGTGAACCAAAGAAATGATTTCCACCAATATAAAATATTTCTAGGTATGGAAAAGCTTGGGCAATATTAGTTGAAATATCACCATAAAGGTGATTACTTACTAATAAAATTATTCGAAGTGATGATAGGTTGAAGAATGCAGATGGAATGCTACCAGAAAGATTATTCCCTGCCACATTTATATGTTTTAATTTATGAAGGCTGCCAATCTCTAGTGGGATGCCTCCCCCTATATGATTAGAAAAGACACGAAGAGTTTCTAAGGAGGAGAGATTTCCAAGTGAAGATGGGATGGTGCCAATGATGCTATTGTTACTAAGATCAAGATGGTTGAGCTGTGACATAGAGTTTAGGGTTGCAGGGATCTTGCCTGTAAGCTGGTTGCAACAGAGATCAAGAACTTGAAACGCAGAGTTATTTGCCATGAGAATGGGGGGAATGTCTCCATGAAATGAGTTAAAACTCAAGTTAAGATATTGCAATCGTTGCAATCGAGCAAGATTTGGATGGATCTCACCATTGAGCCAATTGAGGCTAAGATCGAGCCTTCTGAGGAAGGTGAGATTGGCTATGGAAGGAGGAAGAGGACCGACCAATCCACTGGAGCTGAGATCCAAGGCTACAACTTTGTTTTGATGCTTGTGGCCGCACGTGACTCCTTCCCATGAGCAGAAGTGGGTTGTGTCGTTCCATGAGTTGAGAACGGTAGAAGAAGCGCCATTAATGCTTTGCTTCATGAGTTGACTCTTGAAGGCAACGAGTGAATTGTAGTTTGTTGTGTTGGTGTTTAGGGTTGAGAGCAATTGCAAGGGAGATGAACTGACAATGAAGAAGAAGAGAATAAATAAGAGCATAATGGTACCGAATGAAAATTTCTCCATTGAATAAGAGGAATTAGTGTGGTAGGATCTGTATATCCTGTAAGGAAGAGAAACGGAGTCGTTCAGAACATCCATGCATTCTTTCATGGATTTATAGAAAAGAAGAAGAAGAAGATTAAATTAGCATATCTCCATCAAAATTTATATTATATGTCTTTAAATGATTTTAAGGCTTGTTAATTCTCATTAAATTTTAATCATAATAATTATTAGTATTAATTTTTAGTTGGAAAACTTTCTAAAATTAATGCATTTTGTGGAATTTATTTGGCTATGATTATGCAACGACTTTTCAGTCATGATGGCGAATCTACATAAAAAATTATCATAAATCTTGGATCAAATATAAAATTTTGGAATTAATTTGAATCACTTGAATTTTATTGCTGACAAATTTTTACTAAAAAAATAACATCTTAATTTTATATCTTGCATGATAATTTTGTCTTGATTGTTTTCTTATAAAATAAATGATTTTTTTTAGATTAAAAAAAAATGACTCTTAATAAAATTGAATTAAGAAAAATGATTTATTTATCTCTCTTTGTTAGTATGTGTGGAACATGATTCAAGTATTTATTTTGTCCTCATTATCTTATGTAGAGGACCTCTCTAATTATATTCATTTGAAGGTATTACAATGCTTTGGTCACATATAGAGCAACGAGCGTACTGTATAAATTTTTTAGATAATTTGAGGTATTTGTTTGCCTAAGAAGGGCAAAGAAATCCCATTTTAAGTATATTTTTAAAGTTCTAGAATTGCAGTTATATGGAGTCCTTATTCATCAACTACTACTTAGAATAGTTGATTTCGATATTGTAGAAAAGAACAGAACACTTTGAGTAAATAAATTTGCAATGATTTTTGGATTTTAGTAGGGAGAATTTTTATCTAATGAGGAATTCATGAAAATGAGCAGAGTATGAAGTTTATTGGCAACAACATCAGTGGGGGTAGAAACTTTAAGAATCAAGACTTGCCGAAAGAATCCATATTGTGCATTGAGAGAGATGATAGATCTATGTACACTTTATGTTATCTTGTGAATGATGTTCTACTCAATAACGGGCGGAACCAGTCATAATTTCCAGGGGGATAAATTTATAAGTAATTGTTGGCATATATGTTGGGGGTCCGCTGCCCCCGGAAAAAAAATTGATTTACTATTTCTCTTTATATTTTGTTCATCATTCTCTAACAATAATACATCTACACAATGTGTTTAATTGTACTAGGTGCAATTGCCTAAAGACCATTGTTACGTCCTAGAGTATTCGCGGTGGTAGAGAAATATAAAGTTTAACGTCTTAACTTTGTACAAAAATCTGGCATGCAAACAGATGAAAGAGATGGTGCGATATTCATAAAAGACCCTTCCTTCGGGGAAGGCCTTAGGTTGACCATCAAGATGGTGTGACATTCAAGATTTTCATGTGGAAAACCCTTCAAGAAGGCGAAAAACCCACGGGGCTTAGCCTAGTTTGAATGAATCCACAAGTATTCCAGTTGATTACAAATGAGGCCCTTCCTTGGGGGAAGGCCTTAACTTGATGTACATCTTAAAGAGTACATTACATAATGTGGATAGAAAGAGTCACTGTTAATGTGTTCGTCGGGTAGGAAGGACCATAGTCGGCGGGCGACAGAGGTTGGAAGGATCGTAGTCAGCGGACGACAGAGGTCGGAAGGACCGTTGGCTGATGAAAGAGGTCAGAAGGATTGTAGTCAATGGGCGACATAAGTAAGAATGACTGTAGCCGGCGGGTGACGAAGATCAGAAGGACTGTAGTCGATGGGTGATGTAAGTCAGAACGACCGTAGTCGGTAAGCAACAGAGGTCGGAAGGACTATAGTCGGTGGGCGACGTAAGTCAGAAGAACCGTAGTCAGCGGGCAATGGAGGTCGGAAGGACTGTAGTCGGTGGGCGACGTAAGTCATAAGGACCGTAGTCGGCAGGTGACGGAGGTCGGAAGGACTGTTGTTTGACGACAAAGGTCTAAAAGAAGGCGTCATGTATAAGTCTAGTGACGAGCGGAGGTCTGGCGTTGGGTAGAAATTTGGTGACGAGCAGAGGTCTGACGTCGAGTAGAAGCTTGGTGACGAGCGGAGGTCCGGCGTCGGGTAGAAGTCCGACGTCAGTTGGAGGCCGTGGAGAACTCCGGCGTTAGATGGTATTTGAGCAGAACTCCGGCGTCAATTGGAGTTCAGGTGAAACTTTGGCATCACTTGGAGGTCGGGTGGAATTCAGGTGTCACTGAAATCCGACGTCACTTGGAAGTCGGGCGGAACTCCGGCGGTGGTCGAGGAGGAGTTTCTTCTCTCCTTCTCTTCTTCTCTTCTTCCTTCTTGCTTCTTCCTTCTTTATTCTTCCTTCTTTGGGTCCCCTCTCAAGAGAAATGAGGGGCTATTTATAAGGATGGCATTACCCGTAAATAGGAGGAGGATCAAGGGCAAATGGGGAGTGGTTTGGATGGACGACCGATATTGAATCCCTTGATTGTGGACCGTTCCTCAAAAATTTGAAGGTCTTAATGATAACGGAATTCGGCGATCTTGGGCTCGTTGGATTCGTCTCGTTGAGCTGCTCGATTCGACTATAAGAATGTCATGTTTGGAAACCGTTTGGTAATCAAAATGGTGGTCTGAACCTTCCAACAGTGCTTCGAGTCTTTGATTCGGACCCATTTGGGATTGGATTGAGTTGAATTTGGTGTCGTTGGGTTTGTATTTCTGAGACGCTCAGTTCAACCTAAAGTTTGCTTAAATCAGAGTTCAAATAATCCAGATTTAAAAATAGACTGAGGTGGACAAATTACCTAAAGAATATATATATATATATATAGCCCTGCCCCTGCTCAATCATGATAAGAAAAGTGTTATTTTTACTGTGCTCATTGCTTTGGTTGAAGACAAGAGAACATAGTTTAGACACAAATGAGATGGTTTATAATGGGAGGTGATTATAAAAAAAAGATTGAATAAATATATGATGCGATATGACAATATTTCTCTGAAGAAAAATGCCTCAGGAGAGTACAAAATCATTAATTTATCATAAAACTTAGCATAATGTTTTAGATGCATAATTATTTGAATATTAAATATATAAATATTATTTGCCAATGCATTTGTGGAATTCCAATCAACAGATGACTTGACTTTAAAGTGAACGGTTCCACTGATTTTTTTTTAAATTTATATTTAGGTCAATCAAGATAAATTTATACACGCATCACATACATAAGACTCGAATCTATGACCTCTTAATTGATAGTGAAAGTCCTCAACTAATAGATCAAGATGAGTTGCGTGTTCCACTATATTTCTCGCATTAATTATATAGCAACCTGCAACGATCACATCATAGAGAAGATTCCTTTGGAAAGTGATGGAAACATTACTAATGACTTCATCACAAATATTGGTATTATTGATTAGATCTAAAATTATTCAAATATTAGATTACAAGTTTTTTAAACCCATCTTATGAATATTGAAAATTCATAACAATTGTCTCAATAAAACGACTCCAACATCATAGATGACATTATTTCTTTTATACAATATAGTGACAACTATGATTTTAATTAGCGGTGTAATGGAGTCGAGCTGAGGCTGCTGAGCTGTATGTCAGCTTCAGTTTGACTCGATAAATGACTCGTTAACTCGCAAATCATCTTGTTAAAAAAATATTAACATAAAATATAATATTATTCAAGAGTTCAATATAAATATGTTAAACATGTTTAAAAATTATCTTATTTTCTTATATCGAGTGACTCTTTATTATTAATCTTTTAATTTCTCATTTTTTGTAATTTATTCTAATAATAATTACTTGAATCAAATTATTTTATCTATTTCATTTTAAATGAGCTAACTCAAACTCATAGAATTTTGTTCATGCTCGAGCTTGAACTCGACTAATTAATCAAATTCAAGCTCGAGCTACTCGAGCTAGAGATGAATCGAGCTCTGAAATGAAATTAAAATTAATATCAATATATCAAATTTAACTAGGGCAACCTCTGTATGAATAAAACGGAGTTTTAGTACAAATTTTTTTATTTTTGCACTAAAACTCCGTTTTAGAAAGCAATAAAAAAGCCGTCCCAAACGAAGCCTAAGGCTTTGTTTCGGACAACCTTCTTACTGCTTTCTAAAGCAATTTTCTAATACAAAAATTTCTTGAACTAGAAATTTTTGCACTTAAAAGTTGTTTTAAAAAGCAGCAGGAAAGCCGTTCTAAATGAAGCCTAAAATTAATTTATTAGTTCTTGCTTTCATTCTGATATTTGATTGAGTAAAACCTATTTAAGACATTCTTATGAAATGTCTAATTAATTTATTGGCGCAAAATCATTTTTATTATCTTATTAATTGCATCATCAGAATATATGTCATCCATTACGTTAGGAATTTTATCCCTAGCTAGCTAATCTCTATCTCCTTCAATTCATATTTTCCAATTTCCATTGCGTGTTCTATTTCAAGTCAAGCACAATAATTGTACTAGTAAAAGGGACGTTGACGGAGATTTCAATATATTTTCTTCTGATCACAAAATATTAACTACCCTAAACTTTTCATGATGCACGCCTACAACATACAAATGCAAATTATCTAATATTTTCTTCATGAAAAAAAAAGTAAATTTCAATATGAAATTTAACTTTATATGACGTCCTATATTAGCGGAATTCTTCCTAGAGTAAAACTCTTCCGTATTTTAATAAATAGAGTCATAAACCTCGCTGAATATTTATATGACCTTTTGAATGTAAGAGCTCATCAACCCTTCTTTCTATCACCTTATATGTTTCCAGTGAATACATAGCGTGCGACTTTAATTAGCTTGTGACAAAATTTTACGGCTACATTCTTTCTCTATTCAACATCTTCAAAGATTAGTGATATGTTTTGATATACTTCATACTCTAAAAATTAAATTCAACATCTTCAAAGATTAGTGATATGTTTTGATATACTTCATACTCTAAAAAAATTAAAATCCTTCCCGTGAGACCTTAGTTTACCCGCTTGAAATTTGTAAATGTTTAAGCCAACTTCCAACTACTTTAATTCTTAAACCTAATTTAAATCATGATCAAATAATATGAACAAGTTACAATTGCGCATATTAAGAATGTAAAGATGCAATTTGTCATTATTGTAATATATCATATATATTAATGGAAGGTAGTTGAAAGTCCCTCCATTTATATTAATATAAGTAAGAAGGTAGTATAAGTTTTGACTAATTTGATAACTCCAAGGAGAAGAACATAAGAGTGAGGATAGGAAGTGCAAAATGTTTTTGAACTGTTAAATATTATGACTACATGAATCAGCTTGCAAATGCCGAAAATTCTTTTAAATTATTGAAGTTTTTATCAATATTCGAATAATATTTAGGAATTATTTCAGGGAGTAGTTTATTTAATAAATTAGTAGAAGGAGCATTCAATAATTAAAATTTTAAATAGGAGCTAAATTCTTCAAATTATTTGGAGCTAGTAGAATGTGCATTCTAATGCCCAAAATAATTTGCGTATTCAACTTAAAGAGAGAAAGATATGAGAGAGAGGAGGGGAGAGAGTCCACGAGTGAAAAGAGAGAAAAGAAATTTTATTTTAAAAAATAGTTTTAAATAATTATTAATTAAATATTTAAAATATTTTATACTTAATATTTAAAATATATTTCAATGTTTCTTAAATATTTATATATTTAATTATATTTAAATAATTAGTTAAAATAATAGCTAAATGATATTATTTAAGTTAAAATAATAGCTAAATAGTATCATTAAATAAATACTTTTAAATATATTTTTACTCATATTTAAAAAATTTAATTGATTGTTAAATATTAATTATTTTCTAAAACAATAGTTAAAGTAATAGCTAAAATGATTATTATTTAACATTTAAAATAATAATTATTTAACAGTTAAATAATAGTTAAAATAATTATTAATCAAATATTTAAAATATATTGTACTAATATTTAAATATTAAATATCAATACTCTCTCCCCTCTCTCTGTGCCCGTCAACTCTCTAGCTCTCTCTCTCTCACTACAAAAAAATTGTCAAAATTTCTCCGATATAAATTGGCCAATTTCCGTGAGAGATTAAGCTTTCCGGCAGATATTTTTCCACTGCAAGGAAACGAGAACCGGCGGCTCATTTTCGGTAAGAATTTTTTCTAACAGCTTTCTAACTAATTTAGGTTGCAATCAGTTCGGTGGTCAGGGCAGCGGTTGACCTAGAATATCCACTAAAAATTTCTAACATATTATCCAACGATCTAGCCACCGGAGATTACAGACGAGCACACCACAGATGAACTATGAGAAATATCCAGTGGTATTACTGCCCGCATTAACCGCCTCTTTTTTTTTTTTAATGACGGCTAGTCCACCAAAAAATGTCCATTAATTTTCGACGGTTTTTATTGCATATCAGCGGCCTAATTTATCCTATGATATCGAGGTTTCTAAAAGTAAGTTTTAAAAACACGAAATTTATTAAAACCATACCGGCGTTGGCTATATATGGCGAATGTAAATGCGTCGGCTAGAGAAGACGGAAAGTAAGAAGTGTGAACTTTGCTTCAACTGATTATCTTCAATTTGCAAAACAGAAAGAGCACAAGACAAGAAGCATAGAG